CGTGGCAGAGTGTTAACTCAAACGGGGGGTGTGCTTTGTGGCTTCACATGCATGTGCTACACAGCTGTGACAACATGGGGGGCGGTGGTGGAAGTAGAGAAAAGCCACGTTTCACGCTGGGGCTCCTCTGCATGCACCGATGACCAGGATGGGCTCTGTTTTTGTTTGTTAAGTGCCTGCATTCGTAATGCTTTCATTTGGCTCATGCAGTTCTCTCATTTCTCATGTCAAACGGAAGAACAGTGTTTAGGGCGCTCGTGTGAGCAGGCATGGAAAGAGGCTTTTACTGTGCACAGCTTTCAGCTTTCAGGAACATCAGCCCCAGGGGGTCTGTGCCCAGCGCCTCAGCACCCACATGCTGCTCCGCAGTTTGAGGCTCACTCAGTCGTATGAAGCTGTGACTGGCATCTTCAGTGGCCTCACAGAGGCGGTGCTGGTCACACGGACCAGCTCGGCACTCGCGGCAGGTCATGTGGGGACGCGGCCTACTTCACCTCTTTTACTGCTTTCAGGTGTTGATTTTATGGCCAAGCAGTTTGGGATTTGCACTCACTTTTCCTAAACAGGTTTGAAGGGAGGTTATACTTTTGCAAACCTCCCTATGGCATTAAGCCTGAGCGGCCTGCACCCAGGCCAGGGGTATTGGGGGCAGAGAAAGGCCACATCCGTCCCTGCTGTCACCCCCTGCACTCATTCAACTGATCTCTGGATCAGTACTGGTGATTGTGTAAAGGTAAATAGGTCATGTTAGCAAAGCACGCCAATTAACTGTGTTCCCGCTAACTGGACTTCCTGGGTGGGGGGGGGGGGGGGGGGTATCTCCCATTGTGATAGAGTAACTCGCACCTTTTCCTCCCAGTTATTGTGTTTGCTCTCGCTAGCATCTTGGGTGGACAATGTGTCACTTCCAGTGAAGTCAGGAATCCCATAATATCCCATAATAATATACATGTCCTGAATGGAAAGTGGAAAGTACCTGCTGTCACCTGGGAGACTAGGGGGAGGATGTGGGGTGCAGTGCATTTGTGTGTGTGTGTGTGTGTGTGTGTGTGTGTGGAAAAAATCTTTTTTAATACCATCATCCGCTTCCACAAAAAAACAGAAACACGTTTTCTGTTTTGCCGATTGGGGGTTAGGGGTCACTAATTAGAATACAATAGGGTCAACAGGAAGAGCTCACAAAGACAGGAATGCAGGCGTGTGTAGCTGTGTGTGTGTGTGTGTGTGTGTGTGTGTGTCTGTCTGTCTATGTGTGTGTCTGTATGTGCATATCTGCCTGCCTGTTTCCAAGTCCTCTGTCTGCTGCTTTGTGCTGCCAGTTAACTCCGGAGATGGGATTGACTACAGCCAGCAGAAGCGTGAAAACGTCGGCGATCTGATCCAGGAGACGCTGGAGGTGTTTGAGCGCTACGGGGGAGAGGACTCCTTCATCAACATCAAGTACATGGTCCCCACGTATGAGTCCTGTCTACTGAACTGAGGGGTGCTCCACAGAGCCGTCGGCGAGCTCCGCGCACCACACACCGCTCTCCCCATGTCCTGGGAAGCCGTGTTATACATCTGCAAGCTGCACCACTCGCACAAAAAGAACCTCATTAAAGCAGCACTGTTGTTACTCCTTATTCTGCTCCTCCTCGTCTCCTTTCAGCCCCTCCTCGGTCATCTGCCCAATGCTGCACTTCTGCTAAGATGTGATTCATGAAATCAGAGGCGTCCATTCCTGTGTTGTCCTCGGGGTTAAAACAATAAGACGATAGCGGCCGTCACGGCAGCGTTAAAGTGCTGCAATTTAGCTGCAGTAATTACGGCACAACAAGACAAGGTGGGAAACATGAGGGCACATCTAGCTGCCAGACCAGCCTTTGTACTTAACAGCCGAAAGTTGCAGTTCAACGACAGTGACTGTCAGCATGTACTAGATTTAAGGCAGGAAGGGGGTCTGTGAAGGAGGAGCCCATGTCTGTGGGCGAGTCCAGGCATGCTGGGAAACGGCCGCTGGAATGACAACCAGCCACATACCTCCCGCTACCGCCGGCAGTTACTGCGGAGGCTGTTTTTCAGACCTGAATGTGGGAGCAAGCATCATCTATGGGGGAGGGGGTGGGGGAGGGGCATCAGGCCAAGCGCCGGGCCAGAGCTGCTGGGGGGGGGGCATTAACCCAGCATCCTGGGCACCCTGTGGATCGAGTGCTGGTAACCCAACCCCTATGAGATCACCAGCCCACAGCTGTCCCGCACTGAGGGGGGGCATCGGACACGGAGCAAAGCCAGCTGCACCCATGACGGGTCACCGTACTGGGAGGGGGGGGTATACACTGTGATACTCACTGTGGTGGTGTCAGGATGTTATCAGGGGTATGGGGGAGGGATATCTCCACAGTTTGTCTGTCGGTGCTGTCCCCCTTCACCTGCCTGACAGTGGACTGTGGGGAAGGGGCAAAATCAGTATTCCCCCCCCCATCCTGACTGCTGTCCCATGCTCCTCCATTCGGTCATATTTGGGGGATTAATCTGCGTGAAATGCCACTTTGTTTTTGTGATTCGGGGATTTTATGAACCCTGAAAGTTAACAAGCGGCAAAAGGCGGGGGGGGGGGGCACCCATGATGGCCTGGGGACATGGGGGTGGGGAAAGGCCTGCGGGGGGCCCAGCGCAGGAAACATCCTCTCTTTGTGTTTGTCTGATCAGCCCCAGCAGGCTGCCTCTCACGTCGGGTCAGCTGTGGGGAAAAGACCTGCGTCCCAGTTTACAGACAAAACCCCTGCACATTTAACCTCAAAATAAAACCCGTCAAACAAAATGAGTCTGCCTCTTAACAATGCCTCCTTATTTATTTCCCCTGAGGCGTTTATATAATTCTCTCCCATTTTTTAATTTTCGGAGTGTAAACAGTATGGGTTACGGTCCCATTTGCCTGGCTATGTTCCTAAAGATTGACATGTGCGTCCCAGTTCACACATCTTCAGTCTCTGCACTGCTCTGCTGCTTCCGTCCCCAGCCATTCTTTCTTTTACTTTTTCATGTAACGGGCAAATTTAACAAGAAGCCACATGGCAAAGTGTGGAATAAAGAAAAATTAATGAAATGAAGGCCTAGTGTGCAGCGCGAGCCCCAAACCTTCACATGATAACTCAGGGAGACTGGCAGATCCCAAACAAGCCCCACGCTCAAGCCAAGCATCAGCCACGATCGACAAATGGCCACCGTGTCTCCTGAAATTTGTCTGAGTTCCCAGAAATACTGTCTCTAATGCTTTCCATATGCAGCATACACCACAGAGGATTAAAGGAGAGTGACCAGGTTAGGTTTCCGGCAATCTGTGAAGCAGAGAGGGTATGGAATCCCAAATAAGAAACAGAGCCAATCAGAGTGACGAGGCAGGAGCCCTCAGCAAGGGGACATGGGGGGAGGCCGTGCGTCCTGTCGGTGAAGCACGCAGGATCAGCGAGGGGACATGGGGGAGGCCGTGCGTCCTGTCGGTGAAGCACGCAGGATCAGCGAGGGGACATGGGGGAGGCCGTGCGTCCTGTCGGTGAAGCGCGCAGGATCAGCGAGGGGACATGGGGGGAGGCCGTGCGTCCTGTCGGTGAAGCGCGCAGGATCATCGAGGGGACATGGGGGAGGCCGTGCGTCCTGTCGGTGAAGCGCGCAGGATCAGCGAGGGGACAAGGGGGGAGGCCGTATATCCTGGCGGTGAAGCGCGCAGGATCAGCGAGGGGACATGGGGGGAGGCCGTGCGTCCTGTCGGTGAAGCGCGCAGGATCGGCAAGGGGACATGGGGGAGGCCGTGCGACCTGTCGGTGAAGCACGCAGGATTGGTGAGGGGACATGGGGGAGGCCGTATATCCTGTCGGTGAAGCACTGTGTGTGTGCACAGTCTGTGTGAAAGTGTGTTTTGTGTGTTGTGCATGTTGCGCTCCTTGAGTCTGTTGAATCCACGGTTCTCGGCCTACAGAGCCCTTACCCCCTAACATGGGCCGCCTCCTCCGCATGTGGATGCCTGTCAGAGCGGTTCTCAAAAGGCAAACTATTAGCAGCAACAATGAAGAAGGGAGAGCACCGCTGCAATGGAAACAAGCCACCCTCAGGGAGCCATTTGTCTTGCTGAAGTCGATGGTGTAGGAGCCTCGCAGCTTGCAGAGCACATGCAGACTTGTCAGTGGTGCACCTGGGAATTTGGCCCCTTCCAGAAGAAAATGGCCCAAAGGCTGGGAATACAGACGAAAGCAACTCGGGGTTGGGAATATGGCCCCTTCCAGAGGAAACCGACTCGGAAGCCAGAAATACGGCCCCTTCCAAAGGAAAGCAACTCGAGAGCCGGGAATACGGCCCCTTCCAGAGTAAAGCGGCCCGTGGGCTGGGGATACGGTCCCATCAAGAGGAAAGCGACTCGGGAACCGGGAATACGGCCCCTTCCAGAGGAAAGCGGCCCATGGGCTGGGAATACGGTCCCATTGAGAGGAAAGCAACTCGGGAACCGGGAATACGGCCCCTTCCAGAGTAAAGCGGCCCGTGGGCTGGGAATATGGCCCCTTCCAGAGGACAGTCTCCCAGGGGCTGGGATTTTACATGTATAATACATGCTGGAATCAGTTACAGTGGAAGCAAAGCTATAATCCCTGAATGAATGATTTATCTGCTGATATTTGCTGGGCTGGGTGTCTGAGTCTGGCCGATTTATGAAACTGAGCGCCCGTCATCCGACTCATGCTGAGCCCCACCCAATGTGTAGAACATGCATGCAGCCCACTGACAGCCCTCCCTGTCATGGCTGCAGCAGAGCCCTCTGTGCTCACCCCCTCCCCCCAACACGGCCTCATGTGTTTCTCTGCCCCTGTGCACTTTGGCCTAAGAGAGGGTTTCTTTGTCCCTGGTGTCAAAGACTTTGGAAAATCGACACAGTGAGGGGAACCACCTCGAAAGCTGACCCACAGAGTAGGGCAAACAGGAAGGTGAGACACAGACTGTCAGCTCTGCAGGCAAGAGAACGGCGTTGCTTATGAAAGCCAGAAGTCAGCAAGCATGCGTGAGTGTAGGCTGAAAACTACACCTTCAACTTGTGGCCATCTCATACCCCCTCTGCTCAGGCCAGCCAGACAGCTTAAAGCTGCTGGAGAATCACATAAGTGGAGAACCACAACAAAGGGGCTTTGTCTGAGGCCATTGTGCCTCTCCCCAGTCACTGTGGGTCAAGTCACAGGAAACCACACTGCAGGACTCAAAAACAGTGTCCCAGAAGGCACGGCCCGTTTGATTACATTCCCATGCAGGGAGGAGGGCCCGTCGTCATCCTTGTGACTGTGGTGTAAATCGCTAGTACAGCTTCTGAATTAAATGGCTCTTTGTGTTATGTGGCTGTTTTTGTGATTGGCGCTTGTAGTTTTTATTAATATAACCGACACTGTGGGTTGCAGTGACCCTGCGATGGCCATCCCCCTCCAAAAGCCGGCTTCCTGCCAACCCAGGAAGTGAGCTCATCTGCGGTGACCAGTCTCACAGGTCCCTCCTATGCCCTCTTCATGAAAGAAGCCAGACACATGCTAAAACGCTATCAACTGTACTGCTAATTGGATTAATTATTAAATGGAATCCGTGTCATTAAAAAATGATGAAAACATGATGTTGTGTGGGATTAGTATCTCTCTTAAAGAGTCACAGGAGCGCATGCAAAGAGCAGTGCATGACACAACCTTGACAGACGCTTAGCGGGGAACCAATTACCATGAGCATGATGCAAATAAGCATCAAGGCACATTCAACGCTTTAAATAAATGCTAAATGTTTCTGATAACAGAATCTTGGGCCTTGTCCATGGATGCTTTTGAAAGGTAAGCCTAAAAACAACCAGCAAACCCCATGAAAAATTACACGTGTATCTTAAAGAAACAGGGAGAGATTTAGCCTGATCAGCAGTGGTGGATGTAAGGGGTGGACGTAAATATGTGGCCATCCCTGTTGCCACCCTACTAAATGAAACATTTTATTTTCCAGTAAATAAATGGTGTGGATTGGCCACCCTCAAATTTTCTGCAGCACCACTGCTGATCAGGTATCGTTGGCCTGTCCATCCGTACATGGCCAAACGTGTCCATGGCAAGCCTCACCTGTGTCTGTGGAGAAATGCTGTTATTGAGACAACTATGTAGGCTACGTGGTTAAATAGCATGTCCGAGGAAAAAAAAAAAATTTTAAAAAATTTGGTCGAAATGTCTCTCGGAATTCACCACGGTGTTGGCCTCTGATTTTGTTTTATTTCTGTACAGAAACAGCACAGACGTGGGGGTAAGTGTGTTAAATATTCTTGATAGGTTGGGAATGGGGGGAGCCTTAAGTGCAGCATTCAGTGTTTGCCTGTTTTCACTCCAGAGGATGGACCTGCGCTTTCCGTGATAAGCCATTGGCCAGCTGGGAACCGGGCAGACCTTGCTATCTGGAGGACTTCCTGTCAATCTCTAATGACAGACTGACAAGGCGATCTGTGTGGTGTCAAGGCAGGAGAGGGATTTGATGTCCATGAATATCTCTCCCGAGGTACCTGGTCTAGACCCACATGCACCTACGAAAGAATGAAGAAGGTAAACTGAGGTCAAAGGTAAAGCTCACATTTAGGCAAGTCCTGCAG